TAGAAGCATTAATAAACAGCAAAAAGTCTTTAGTTTTTAGCACTGCTCCAAGAAGCCAGTAAGCCTTAGAAAATCTCTAGCCTCTTCTAGTTTATGTGGAAGGTTAAGGAATGGTTAAGGAGCTAGTGGATTCTTAAAGAGAAAAACACATAAATTAGCAAATATAGTTTGAAGGAAAAAAGTATCTCTGATATATTTAGTGGTCATTCTATTTCTTTCTTTTTTTTTAAAAAAAAAAAAAAGATTTATTTATTTATTATGTATACAGTCTTCTGCCTGCACGTATGCCTGCATGACAGAAGAGGGCACCAGATCACATCATAGATGGTTGTGAGCCACCATGTGGTTGCTGGGAATTGAACTCAGGACCTCTGGAAGAGCAGCCAGTGCTCTTAACCTCTAAGCCATTTCTCTAGCCCCTGGTAATTCTATTTCTAAAATATTAATCTAAGGTCTGCTGCAAGTCTTCAGCAGACCTCAGCAGAACTGACAGGTAACAGCATTTCTTGGTAAATGATGAATTACTGTATGGTCTATAGAAAACAGAATATGATTTATATTCAAAAGCATGGGTGAGAACATAGGGTCTGGAGTTGGACTGCCCAGCTTTTAACCCTAAGTTTGTGACTTTTTCATGAGGCAGGCGACCTTAGACAAATGACAATCTACTCAGTATCCATTTCTCTGACTATAAAATACTACTGCGTTGTTATGGAGACTGAAAGAAATATCATCTTCCCGTCACAGACTAAGCACGTCTGGAGTTTGAATTATTTGTGACGGTGACAGTCCTACCTCAGATGCCTTGGGAGATCAGACTGAGGAACTCAAACCTGTCTTCTTTGTTGGGACCTGTGATGATATGCCATCTCTTCTATTCCATCTTAGAGGAAGATGCTGAGCATGTGCCAGGCACCCTGAGCCGGGCCCAGTCGGTAAGGACCAGAGACAGAGGGATAGGTTATGTAGTAGCAAGAAACTAAGCTGGAGAATGAGAAAAACCTTTTTCTCTTCTATTTCTGAGCCCTATCTTGAACTCTTTCGAAGCTAGTCTACATGATTTATTGGGGTAGACTTGATTGTCTTTCCTTCAAGTAATAATGAAGCTGAAGTGTTACTCTCAAGTTCATCTTGATTTTAATGCCACCGCTATGTTTTTATCCTGCGAGACTGGTCTCATCAGAAAGACTCAAACATCCCTCAGTGTTTCTTTCTAGATCAGGAAATGTTCAGGTCGTCACTAGCTATTTGTAACAAACACTGCTATCTTCTGTTCCAGGTTTTCTTCTGATTTAAAACAAAAAACTTTTAGATTTTTTAAAATTTAATTTTAAATTTAGAACTCTTACTACTAAAATTTTCAGCAAAATTGTATATTCTCTCTGTGGTGCGTGGTGTATGTGCAGAAGCCAAAGGAGGGGGTCAGGTTGGCATCTAGCAAGTCCTAACTGTCCTCTTGTCTTCTAGAGTCCCTAGTACTGAGGTTACAGGCATGCCTCCCATGCCTGTTTCTTACAAAGGTACTCTAGATTTGAACTCAGGTCTTCATATTAGTGCAGCAAGTGCTATTACCCAATGACCCATCACCCTAGGCCCATCAACATTTTTTAAATGTTTATTTATGTATGTATTTTATGTGTATTAGTGCTCTGTCTGCATTTATGCCTGCATGCCAGAAGAGGGCATCAGATCCCATTATAGAATAGTTGGGAGACCATGTGGTTGCTGGCAATTGAACTCAAGACCTCTGTGAGCAGCCATCTCTTAACCGATGAGCCATCTCTCCAGCCTAAACCTAATAACAAAATTTTAAAGCAGGCAATGTTGAATGGCCTCATTGAGTAAACAGAATCAGAAAAACTACTAATTCTGAAATAGACACTGTTAAGTGAAATTAATCACTATACATTTTAATTTTATTTCAAAACTACTTACAGTTTTAGATATATGATGTTGGGGGTACTGAAGATTTAATCTAGAGCACCCTTATATTCTACAATCCGAGTTACAATATACCTCAAAAACTTTTAAAGTTTCTAAAAAAAATATTATAAAATGGGGTCTTGATAAATTGCACAGCCTGGCCTTGAGCCTACTCTAATAGTCCAGGCTTGTCTTGAGTTTGAGGTTCTCTTGCCTCAGCCTCCCAAGTAGCTGGATTGCAAGCCTGTGCCACCAGGCCCAGTCAGGGTTTTTTCATTTGTTTTTTTCTTTTGAGGTAAATATCTTTTAGTCTTCTACCTCACATTTGGGGGAGGTGGGATAGGAAATCTAATAGCAACACACAGTGCAAAGGAATTAATTATCTTACATTTTTAGACTTTAGAAGGAAAGGTCTCTGAACTCAGAGGGAAGAAGTTCTTTGGGTTTAACGGATTATAAAGAGTATAAATCCGGGGCTGTAGAGATGGCTTATTGGCTCAGAGCACTGACTGCTCTTCCAAAGGACCCGGGTTCAATTCCCAGCACCCACATGGCAGCTCACAACTGCCTGTAGTTCCAGTTTCAGGGGACCCGACACCCATGGCAAAACACCAATGCACATAAAATGAAAATAAATAAAATTAAAAAAAATAAAAAACAAGAATATAAACCCATAATTTAGGAAGTTAGTTCTATTTTCCCACCCCATCTTGGGGGTGCTACATCCTAAGAGTTTAGCAACTTGGTGTGTGTGTTGGGGAACTAGGTAGAATATAAGGCCTGGCTGATTCCTCTACTGAGGTAGCTTCTGTAATCTGACATTCCTACATTTTGCATATATAGAAGAAAGACTTTCTAGAAGAAGGAGTATCAAGAGTTGGGACTCTAGGGATTTATAGGTGTCAGCTTCAGTTCTGGCTAATTCCTGCTGACATTGGGGCATGGTAGAGGCTGAGGTCAGGTTCCCTTCCCTCTTCTCTCATGCCATTTGGTCAATTAGTGATTTTGTTAGTTTGGTTTTTTTTTTTTTTGTTTGTTTGTTTTTTGGTTTTTTCAAGACAGGGTTTCTCTGTGTAGTTTTGCGCCTTTCCTGGAACTCACTTTGTAGACCAGGCTGGCCTTGAACTCACAGAGATCCGCCTGCCTCTGCCTCCCGAGTGCTGGGATTAAAGGCGTGCGCCACCACACCTGGCCAGTTAGTGATTCTTGAGTTGTGGGCTGGTATTTATATTTAGTCATCAAGAGGTTATCCGTGTTAGTCCGAGTGGTATGCTGGGTGATGATTTGTATGAACCAAATTAACAGTTAGACCAAAAGGAGGCCTGTGGATGAGAATCAGAATAAAATGGTGGCTTGTCAGGGGCTGGAGAAAAGAGGGATTGAAGGCTTGTTTAATGGGAAGAGAGTTTAAGTTCTGCAAGATGCGACAAGTTCTGTGGGTTTGTACAATGCGAATGTACTTAATATTACTCACCTATACACTTAAAAAATGATAAATGTGGTAAATGCTTTGCTATGCATATTTGCCTGCATTAAAGAAAAACATGTCATATTGTAAAACAATAAGAGGCTTTAATCTAATAGTCAACTCCTCCCCCAAAACACACACACATAGCAAGATGTCTGGAGGATGGCTATGGGAAGCAGAATGGATTTCTACAAAGCTGTCAAGGACCCGGAAGCCTTCTGTATTTCTGCCTGGGCATGAATGAGATAGACTTGCTTTCATTTCTCTTCTTCTATTAGTAATTGAACTATCCTTGGGTTTTCCAGCCTGTCTGTTGGCTAGCTGAGGTCATAGAGCTAGCTAAAACACTAGCTAATGGGGTGAGAATAGAAATAATGGGTACCATTCTAGGGTTTACCCTCATCAGAATCAGATTTGTGCTTCTCTGGTCTCTTTGCCCATTCTCAAAACCGTGAAATGGTGAAAAGCAAAATAAACTCAGAGGTCCCAAAGATAGAATCCTCATTGGGAATGGCAGAACCCTGCTTTAGAGAAAGAAATGTTTCCATATTTAAGACACTGTACTTTGGGTTTCTTTGTTACAATGGGTCCATATACAATTAATTTGTTAGTATCTGGCTTTCATTCTCTTAGTTGCTGCATGGACACAAGATGATTAATCTATCTTTAGCTTTATGGTTTTTTAGTTTGATTGTTTGTTTTTGTTTTTATAAGCAGGAGAAAGGAAGTAGCAGGAAAAAAAACACAAAGTCCATGTGAGTCAAGCAAAACTTTCCGACAAATTCTTGGCAGTCATACAGGAAGGTCTCATTGACCATACTTGTAGGTCTGGTCAAAACCAGCTCTGAGGGAGTATGAATCTCTTTTGTGCACATCACTGTCCTAAACAAAATCAGGGTTATTTTAGACAGGGAGGTAGTGATGATGGATATCAAGCAGATGAGCAAGCAGGTAGGTCGCATTGGGCTTGCAATAATAGCAATTAAAAAATAAGATATCAGGCCGGGTGTGGTGGCAAACACCTTTGATACCAGTACTCAGGAGGCAGAGGCAGGTCTAGTCTACAGAGTGATATCCAGGACAAACAGGGCTACACAGTAGAACCCTGTCTTGGAGGTGGGGGTTGGGGAAGGAAGATAGCTGTAGAGATGGCTGTAGAGATGGTTCAGTGGCTAAGAGTGTAGTGTTATCCAGGACAGGAGTTCAGTTCCCATCACCCAAACCGGGTCCCTCACAACCACTTGTAACTCCAGCACCAGAGTATACGACACCTTCTTCTGATGTCTCGCACACATGTGGCATAAACACACAAACATATAAATACAAATATAATAAATTTTAAAAATAGGATAAATAAAACAAAAAGATAAATAATTGACGTGTGTGTTGATGGGTACTGGACCCAGGGCCTAACTTGCGCATGCTAGGCAAGCACTCTACTACAGTGCTACATTCCCAGGACTAATAATTAAGTTTAATATCTCACTGTCATGTTGTTGCAAAACAAATTTGATCCCCCCCGAGGCTCCGCCCCTCGTAGGCCCGCCCCCTTCAGCCTCTAGGATTGGCTTTCCCCCCACTTCCGGCGGCTGGGCCTGGGCTCACTCCCGCTTCCGGTGTCATGGCGGCCTGAGTCCCGGGAGTCGGTGCGGGCGCTGCGGGCCCCTCCCTGCGGAGCGGCGGGTCCGGGCGGGGATGTGACGGCGGGCGCCGCGGGCCTTCCTGGCGCGTCGTGTCGGCTCGCGTGTCCTCGCCCCAGCCCGCACCATGGCGGGGTCCGGCTGCGCGTGGGGCGCCGAGCCGCCGCGCTTCCTGGAGGCCTTCGGGCGGCTGTGGCAGGTACAGAGCCGCCTGGGCAGCGGCTCGTCGGCCTCGGTGTATCGGGTGCGCTGCTGCGGCACCCCGGGCTCGCCCCCCGGAGCCCTCAAGCAGTTCCTGCCTCCGGGAACCACCGGGGCTGCGGCCTCGGCCGCGGAGTATGGTTTCCGCAAAGAGAGGGCGGCGCTGGAGCAGTTGCAGGGTCACAGGAACATCGGTAATTGTGGCTGTCTCCTATCTCTTGCCCAGGTCCCGGTCCAAGCATTCACGTTCTCAGCGCCCCCATCCTCCCCCCCGGCCTTTGGTCCTTTAGGTGAGGAGAGGATTGGGCCCCACTAGTTATCTCCCGATGCTGGTCCCTTTTCCATCCGCCTTTTCTTTGCTGCTCTCCGAGGTATGGTGGAGGTGATTATCACATAGCAAAGCAATGCTTAGTAGAGTCCTGTTTTGCTTCGGTTTTCAGCTGGTACTTAGTAGCGTAGAGAAATGCCTTCTGCAGCGAAAGGCATTCCTTTGCTAGGTTGTCATGTCTTGAGTGGAAAATTTTGCATCTTTTTCTTCCTATAGAAAATGGAAAACATTCTAGGGCTATGGTATCCAGTGACATCTAATGACATCCTAGCAACTCAAATGATACCTATTTAGTGTGGATTTGGGAGAGGGGACTCAGTATTACCAGAAGTTATGGAAGTGTGACATTCAGGGGCACTGCATTTGCTTCAGTAAGACTTTCATGACTCAGATATTCAGAATGTAAGCTTGTATTGGTCTTACATCTTGGTATATAGAATCCATGTGTAATTTGAAGAAAGACCTTTTTGTAATACTTCACTGGCAGAAGAATTTTTTGATACTAGTGTTTCTGTTTTTTTAAGCTTACGAAGTGGAATATCACTATAACCTTGGCGTGTGACAAGGAAAATTTTTTTGCAAGCCTCAGTACTTGTTGAATCTCTGCATGATTACATTAAAATGTTATCTCAATGTCTTGATGTATCTTTTTAATGTTTAATTTTTTTTACTATTCAGAGAATGGAATGCTGATGTGAATCAACCAACCTTCAATTTGTTTTTAAGGGTTACTTAACATTACAGTTTACTTTTAATAATTTTTTTTTCTTGACACCTTAAGTGCGTCTTTACCCACCACTGCCATATATGGTATTTCATTTTATTTAAATAACCCCACTGTCCAAAGATCTTATTCATTGGAAAAATAGTGGAAGTTTCTAATGCTTACCAAAGTTATCCTTATCTAGGAGCAAGGGGTAGAGTAGCTCAGCTGTTCTTGCAGAGGATCTGAGTTCAGTTCCCAGTGTTGCTGGAGATTTTGGTGCATACTGCCTCAGTAGTCAAAAGACACTGGGGAAATGCCTGAGGATAATTTCATTGGAGTTTAAAAGAAAAACCCTAGGGCAGGCAAGTTGTACATCTCAGCACCTGCTCTGAGAGGAGAAAATAAAAGAAGTAGCCATGTTGTTTGTGGTAAGCCAGTGTGGAGGCCAGCTTTTGTAGAGAGGTGGGGGTGGCTAGACAACCACAAGGCCTGGAGGTCGCTTTAAGAAAGAGTGATTAAGAAAAGCATGGTTTGTTTTGTAAGAGGCTGGGCCAGGAGTAGGAATTCTGGGGGGAAAAAAATATCTCATGAAAGGACTAATACTCCTACCCTTAGATGGTCATTGACCCACCAACTAGATTTACCACTACCACCAACACCACCCCCATTCCCCCAGACAGGGTTTCTCTGTGTAGCTTTGGCACCTTTCCTGGAACTCACTCTGTAGCCCAGGCTGGCCTCAAACTCACAGAGATCTGCCTGCTTCTGCCTCCTGAGTGCTGGGATTAAAGGAGTGCACCACCACCACCACCACCACCACCACCACCACCACCACCACCACCACCACCGCCCTGCTGGATTAACTCTTAAGGGAGGGTACGATGTCTGCCTAGAGGGAAATTCATTTTTTTGCTATAACAGTAGCTCTCACAACAGTCTCACATGCCATGTGCATGTGTGTTTGTGCACACATAAAAATAAAGTTCTCTTTGTCTGGACTATCCCAAATTTATAAAGAAGAGTTAAGTACTTTGGTAGTGAGTTACTGTGAATTTGATTGTTATAAAGTATTGTATTTTTTTTTTCTAGTGACTTTGTATGGAGTCTTTACCATACACTTCTCTCCAAACGTGCCATCACGCTGTCTGTTGCTTGAACTCCTGGATGTCAGTGTTTCGGAATTGCTTTTATATTCCAGTCACCAGGGTTGCTCCATGTGGATGATACAGCATTGTGCCAGAGATGTTCTGGAGGCCCTTGCTTTCCTTCACCATGAGGGCTATGTCCATGCAGACCTCAAACCACGGAACATACTGTGGAGTGCAGAGAATGAATGCTTTAAGCTGATTGACTTTGGACTTAGCTTCAAAGAAGGCAATCAGGTAAGAAATACCTTTTCTTCTCTGTTATGGTTTAAAAATCTAATGGTCCAAGCCAAATATTTTTAATAACAATGGTAGTTTAGGACCAAAGGGGCACTTCCAAAATACCAAAGTCCTTCTAAGAGAGCAAATTAAAAGAATTTCAGTGATGCTTTGTGAAACAAGGGCATAAATTTCGGTCAGGTAGAAGGTGTTAGTAAGGCTCACGAAAGCTCAGAAATTAATAAACATACTTAGCCCACGTAGAAGGCTTTTCAGTGTCGGCATTTGGTGAGTTGCTGGGTTGCTGTTCCTGTTTCTTTGATGTTGGGGCTCTTGCTCATGGCTGATGGCAGAGGTGACAGTTCAGGCAAATCCTCATTGCTCTGTGATTTATCCGGTTTCTGCAGAGGGTCTTTATCATCGCTGCATAATAGGTAAGAAAGTACTTTTAAAAAAAGACTTCTTTTTGAGCAGCTGTGTGGAAGGGGTCCGGCTTTTTTGTGCTAACTGCCTAGTTAGGGAGCTGAAGAATTACGTTAGGTAAGGACTGAAGTTTGCGGCATTTGTTTTGTCGGGTGACCTACTGTGCCTGTGAAGAGTGCATGGTAGAGAAGGATGGAAAGCGAGACTCTTTTGATGGCTGTAGTGTTTCTTCGTCTTCGTAGGATGTGAAGTATATTCAGACAGACGGGTATCGCGCTCCAGAAGCAGAACTGCAAAACTGCTTGGCCCAGGCTGGCCTGCAGAGTGATACAGAATGTACCTCAGCTGTTGATCTGTGGAGCCTCGGAATCATTTTACTGGAAATGTTCTCAGGAATGAAACTGAAACATACAGTCAGATCTCAGGAATGGAAGGTAAGCTGCTTGAGGGGTTTGTTTGGGGTCTCTCAATTAGTTTAGAAGTTTGCTTTATGTTTTTTGGTTTTGTTGTTGTTGTTTTTTGTCAGAGGGTCTGATTGCCTCCTATCCTTCGTGTTCTCTGTATGTATTTATGGTACCTTCAGTGCCTCTGCTTATCCCTATAGCTTCAAATACACTGATGACATTGCATCCTCACAGCTGTTAATCTAGGTCCTGGGGTGTAGTAAGCATTTGCTGAAATGTTTGAATGTATTTTCCCACACAGGCAAAAGAAATTCCCTTTGTTAGTTGGGCATGGTGGCACACACCTTTAATACCTGCACTCAAGAGGTAGAGGCAGGCAAATCTCTGTGAGTTGGAGGCCAACCTGGTCTACAGATCAAGTTCTAGGACAGCCACGGCTCTAAACCCTGTCTTGAACACCCTCCCCCCCAAAAAAGAAATTTACTTTAGGTATTAAGTTAAATAATAATCTTTTAATAATGCTTTACAGTTAAAAAGTACTTTTAGCACAATCTTGTTAAATTTTCTGAACAGTCTCATGAGAGTAGAGTGGGTGGTCGAGAGAGGCACAGTTGTATAATATAACTGGTTCCAGGTCACGTGCTGGGTTCTCCTAATTAGAAGCTTTCTATGGTTCCATAGTACTTTGTATGTACTAGTATGCCATAGGCCTCTATACACTCTACACTGGCTAGTTAGCTTCTGTGGCGGTGGTATACTGGCCACTGCTTTTGTTGTTTCTGAGGGAGCATGGTTTTAAGTTCCAAACCTCAGACATTGAAATGAACTTTTTGTATGTCTCTAAGTTAGGAATTAATCCTAATTAGTTTTGCAAATGTAGTGTGATACTTTATTATTATGAAGTTCTCAGTATCCTTTAGACTTGAGCTTTAACATATAATACTTTGAAGTTATGATTGAGTCTGGTTTTAAGCAATAAGTATTTGAAATTAAATATTTTCATAATAAACGTGTAACTGCTGGGTGGTGCCTTTAATCCCAGCACTCTGGAGGCAGAGGCAGGCGGATCTCTGGGTTCAAGACCAAACTGGTCTACAGAGTGAGAGTTCCAGGACAGCTAAGGCTACACAGAGAAGCCCTGTCCTAAAAAAACATAAAATAAATAAATAAATAACTGGAGGTTTTTCTGTTCTGCCATTTCCAAATAATCATTCAGAGGCTTAATATTACTTATAAATATTTGGCCAATGGCTCAGGCTTATTACTAGCTAGCTCTTACATTTAAAATAACCCATTTCTTAATCTAAGTGTTGCCATGTGGCTGTGGCGTTACTGGTCTGCTGGCGTGTTGCTCCTTGGGCAGTTGGCTGATGTCTCCCAGGCTCCGCCCTTCTTCTCCTGTAGCTCTGCTTGGATCTCCTTCCTAGCTCTATCCTGCCTTGCCATAGACTAAAGCAGCTTTATTTATTAACTAATGAGCGCAACCTCCATTCCCAACATACAGAAGGATATCCCATATCATAAACATCTAGCCAATAGTAGGTGACCATTATAGTTTGATTTATGCTAAACCCTAGTCATCAATTTCTGGTTTAGTGATTCTTGGAAGGAATACACTAATACTCTCTAGTGGGATTGCCTTATGTTTATTTTTGGCCCCAAAAATGCTGCTTATGGGCATAAAACCAGTACCACTTTTTTCTATTAATGATATTTCCAGATAGCTAACAAGCTATGTGTTCTTTCTTTAGTGTTAGTTTGAATATGGATCAATCATTTAAATTAGCTTTGACTTTGCTTAGGCTCTTTGGACTGTATCTGCTTGGCCCAGAGCACATCAGAAATAGGTCACACTCAAATTTGTGTAAAATTTGGAGGCATGACATATGCTAATGGCATCTCAAATATATGTCTCTCTAGGTAAAGTGTCATAATGACAGTTCTGCAGAGGTAAAATTGCCAAGCTGGTGTGAGCATAGATTCTGAAGTCTAACTGTGTCTTACTTTCACCTCCTACTAAGTTATTTGGGTTCATTAAACCATTTATTTTCCTGTAATATAAAGAGACTAACAATGTAATGTCTTGTAAGAGTACTAAGACTAAAAAAGAAACGTTGCATAGGTTTTCAGCATAATGTGTGGTCATAGTAAGTTAGCAGTAGATTCTAGTTAATGTGAGTTCTGCATTCTGAGTTAGTATAGCACTTGCTACATATGGTTAGATACATTTTTGTGTCTAGTGGAATATTTATTTTGGATCACAGTTTTAGAGGTATTGGTCCATGCTGTCGGAGGGTGTGGCAGTGTGGCACAGCAGTTTGCACCTTCGTGGCTAGGAAACAGGCTGTTTCCCTTTTCCTTCTACTTTGTCCCCAAGCCATGAGATGGTGCCACCTACATGCTGTGTAGGCCTTTTCCCTTCAGTTAATCTCCAACATGTGCTAGCAGGCAAACCCAAGAGGGTACCTTACCAGTGGCTTCAGTGATTCTAAATTGACAGTGAAGATTAACCATCACAGTACTCACGGACTAAGTGCTGTCATCTACAAATGGAATGTGAATAATGTAGCAAAGGCAGCATTCTCATACCGCCTCCTTTTTCTCAATGATAGTTTATTTCACCTGAATACCAACAAAGACTCATCATTAGGTATTGTGACCCACCTATTACATTCATTCATAAAATTGCATCTCAGTGTGATTTCTTGAGTTTTACACATTCATTTTGGAGATGTTCATAGTGCCAGGTATTGTATCAGTGCCTCTAGAAATCACTACAATGAAGTCTCCTCCATTAAGATTATAAATTCTTAGAAGAGGTATTGCATGTTACTCATGGAATAGTGTCATATGGCTACTTCTCAGTAAATGCAAGCTGAGCCGAATAACCTAAGGAAGACTTTTTTCCCCTCTTTTAGGCAAACAGTTCTGCTATTATTGATCATATATTTGCCAGTAAAGCAGTGGTGAATGCCGCAATTCCAGCCTATCACCTCAGAGACCTTATCAAAAGGTATGTTAGATACAGTATAATTTGCTTTGCAGACCTTTACCAGCTAAAGTTTTTTTTCTTGGATTTATATTACTGTTACTAATTTGCCTAGTTATATAGATGCAACTCCCTTAGAGATAGGAATTTTACCCAGGTGAGGTGGCGCATGCTTTTAATCCCTGCACTCCAGGGCAGTGGCAGGAGGATCTCTGTGAGTTCAAGGCCTGCCAGAGCTACATAGTGAGACCTTGTGTCAAACAAAACAAAACAATTAAGATAGCCTTTCTAGTTATGGAAGTGTCATTCTTCTGCTGTTCTTTTGTAATGTAAAGGAGGGCCAGGCATGATGATGCATGCCTGCTGTTCCCGTGTTTGAGAGGTTGAGCAGGAGAGCTGTAGTTTGAGGTTGCTGTGAGCTACATGTGAGACATTGTCTCAAAGGAACAAATAAGAGGGGAAAAGGTGTGGTTTCCCCCGCCCCTTCGATCTGGTTCTTCTTCCTTGTTTTTTTCTGATAAATCTCTCTTTCCCTCTGTCTGTCTGCCTGTCTTTCCCCATTTTGATCATTTGAATTCTCTTCCCGATATTTTTTTCTCACTGGGATTTTCCATGAAGTGTCTTGGCTGCTTATTTTAGGAAATCTTAGTTTCTGGTTTACTCTAGCTCTTAGGATTTCCCAGAGGCTCGTGTTTACCTGGTGTGAGTGCAGTGGTCCCTTGTAGTTTCATCTGCTGTTGTAAAATTGGCTTGCCGTACTTCCCAGTGAGTATCCGTTTGCCTTTGTGTTTTCCTGCCTTATTCTCTTTCATTTATTATCTGTACACCTGTTTCTTCTCTACTTTCTTATAAACGAATGCCTGTATGAGTATTACTACCATCCGTAGTCTGTTTCTGTAATTGCCTGTAGATTTTTACATAAAATAGTTTTAAGATTAGGGGAATTTGGCAAGATTCAATTATCCCACTATTACCTTCTGGTTTTTGTTTTTGCTTTTTGTTTGTTTTTTTAAATTGTGCTACCATAAACATTTGTCTCGCCCACGCCCCACTGTGCTATAGCATGTACATCACTTTCTTATGTTTCTTATTAGTTAGAAACATTAAATCATAGCATGATACTGTGTCAGAAACGTCCCATGGTTTATTGCACTGTTGCTCAGATGGCCTTTCTGTTCTCCACAGGGGAATGAGTAATCCACGATAATAGAGGTAGTGCTGAGATGAACACTGAGCCTTTTTTGATAGTTTCCCTTTTAGAAGGTCTGGCAGTAATCATAATGATGTTGTTATGTTTTAGCATGCTTCATGATGACCCAAGCAGAAGGATCCCTGCTGAGATGGCATTGTGCAGCCCATTCTTTAGCATTCCTTTTGGTAAGTTGTATCTGCCATTATTTCCCCTCCCTGGTTATTTGGTAATTGTGTGTATATATTCTCAGGCTCCTTATTTGATCAATTCATCATTTATTACATTTGCCCATATTGTCACGAACTTTCACAGCCCCTCATATTGAAGATCTGGTGATGCTTCCAACTCCAGTGCTCAGACTCCTCAACGTGCTGGACGATGATTATCTTGAAAATGAAGATGAATATGAAGGTTAGTGCTTCCCAGATTATATTATAGTGTTTCGTTCTTACATACAGACTATGACCAATGTGTGTGTGATACAAATTTTATTCATAAGATTCTTACTTTTCTAAACACAAAATTTAAAAGGACCATTGAACTCTTTGATGTCTAAAATAATTGTGCTTTTTGATTCATAAAGTCATTTGGACTCTGACATTTCATTTTACCAAATTAATAGAGATTTACCCATAAGATTCTGTCTCTGATCTGTCTTTTCTGTCCCTTCTCTGTGCTTCCCAGATTATATTATAGTGTTTCGTTCTTACATACAGACTATGACCAATGTGTGTGTGATACAAATTTTATTCATAAGATTCTTATTTTTCTAAACACAAAATTTAAAAGGACCATTGAACTCTTTGATGTCTAAAATAATTGTGCTTTTTGATTCATAAAGTCATTTGGACTCTGACATTTCATTTTACCAAATTAATAGAGATTTACCCATAAGATTCTGTCTCTGATCTGTCTTTTCTGTCCCTTCTCTGTGCTGTCATTTCTGCTTTTTATCTCTCTCTCTCTCTTGCTTTTAACAACCTTTTCATTCAGACACATTTACTGTGTCTCAGGGGATTATTTCTTATTTTTAATGTAAGAGAGACATTACAAACGATGATAGAAAAAGGGCACTCAGCTTAGCTTGAGTGATCAGTGAGGGCTTTCACTGCAGTGGTTACATCTGAGCTCAGTGATTAGTTATCTAAAAGGTGGGTTGGATGAAGTAACATCAAATAGAAACTGCCATGTTCAGAGAACAGCAGCTTGGCATGATTGTATCTTATTTGTTGGAAAACAGTTAAAGTTGCAGCAGTAGCCAGTGTGCATGTACCTAACAGGCTTGATTGCTGTGATTAAGAATTGCATCTTGTTTATGAGCTAGTAACACTGGAATCTAGCACCCTTGGAAAAAATGCATGGTAGGTACCCAGTAAACATTTATGGTAGAAGGGAGCGAATGGCACCAGTTCAAACCTAATTGCTGTCCTTGTCGCTGGGCACATAAACAGCAAAAACTATGGGGAATAGAAAAACAAGTTTTTGATTATGCTGCTTGAAAGAGTTTCTATTAGAACCTTAGGAAAGACAACCTGATAATTCTAACAATATTGCAAGTTTATGTCAGTTTTGACCTAGCAATGTTATTTCTAGAATATCAGCTATGAGAAATAATGAAGTTCAATAAATTGTAAACAGTATTATTTATAATATCAGAACATTTTAAAATAGTTAAGTAGTCATCAGTTAGGAGACATTGGTTAATTTCTTGAATATAGTAAACTGTCCAAAAGTATACAGCCATAAAAACAAATGAGAAGACTTCATTTAATAATATGGAAAACTGTCCAGAGAGATGGATCAGCAGTCACATCGCAGCTCACAGTGGTCTTGTAACTCCAGTTCCAGAGGATCCAGTGCCCTCTTTTGGCTTCAGGGGGCACTGCATGCACATGTATGCATGCAGGCAAAACACATAAAGTAAATACATCTAATTTTTTTAAATATAGAAATCCACAAAGATATACTTCAGAAATATTAAAGTTGAAATTCTTTCTTAAAATACATAAAATTATATTTGCTTGTGTACCCTGGTAACACTGGCCGGCTGCAGCAGTAACTTCATGGTGCTGATTGGCTTCAAGAGGAGAAGCGGAATGAGAATTGGGAATTTTCTTTTCAGTTTTGAATTATTTAACTAATGTATTTAAAACATTAAATGTAGACTATTAAAAGAAATTGTTAATGCGTTGAATTTATACTCTTAAGCTTTTTGTCCTAAGGTAAGGAAAATCACTTCATTACTTAGCTGTGTGTCACTGAATTTTCAAGTAGTAAGTACCTGCTGTTGTGTGCTTTTATGACCAGATGTTGTAGAAGATGTCAAAGAGGAGTGTCAGAAATATGGACCAGTGGTTTCTCTGCTTGTTCCAAAGGAAAATCCTGGCAGAGGACAAGTAAGCACATTTTTTATAATTGCAGAAGTATTTGTAGATTATTAAAATTTTGTACTAGATGGATTCTGTGGGAAGGCATACACAAAATTTTTTCAGTATAGATTATCATTACTTTCTTACGCTTTTTACCTATCTAAAAGTCCTATAATATGTTTGATTTTTGTAATCACTTAAACTTTATTTTTTAAAAAATGTACTTTTGAGCCATGGTAAACAGTGACACCAACTGAATTGTGTTAATTTTGATTAGGTTTAATTAGAGAACTGTTTGGTTCAGTTTTGTTCAAATTAAGTACACTTGGAAAACCAGTTGGATTAGGTTCTGATTGCAATAGAAATGATTAGTGACCATGTAGAGAAGAAGAGCATGCTGGATGGAGACTCCTGCCTGAGCTGTGTCTCTGTTGACCAGTCTGTGATGGCCCATACTGCCTTCCTCTGTTAGATGTCTGGGTGAGAACTATGATCACATCATTTTTATTAGAAACTCTCTCTAATCAAATCACATGGTAAAGAGGATAAGAAAATGCAAATACTCTGTCTATATTTTTTTCCTTTATAGAAACAGAATATTATTTTACTGTATTTCAGGTTTCTAGTCTACTCGCTGTTAACATTCAAGCCATGTCACTTGGTTGAGGGAAGTGCCCTGTGGAGTGTAGGCTGTGCAGCAGCAGCAGCCTTGCCTCTGCACATTAGCTGCCCTTCTTCCCCTGGAAAAGTGCATCAGGAGTGGTGCAGTCACTTTTGACTGGGTGCCCTGCCAAATCCTCCTGTTCAGCTCCTGAGTGCTAGGGTTGCAGGCACTTGCCACCATGCTGCTGATTGTAGAGATTATCTTATAGCTCACTGGCCGTTTGGAAATGCTTTTATTTCCATTTAATGACATTTTAGAGATGAGGATTCTGAGTAGCTGACAAGTAGCACTTTATCTAATTTCCTGTTTTCATTCTTGTGTGTTATGTATATATGTGTGTGTATACATTTGGAAGCCCAATGCTGATGTTGAGAATCATTCCTCATAGCTTTTCCTCTTGATTTATTGTGGCAGGGTCTCTCTGTTAAACCCAGAGCTTGCCAGTATGGCTAGTCTTGTTGGGCTGGCTAATCTGGGGATTCCCTGCCTCGGCCTTCTGAGGCTGGAATTCAGACAAGCCAGCATTCGTACCTGTCTTGTTATATATAGGTTCTTGAAATCCAAACTCCAGTCCTTACTGTTGTAAGGTAAGCAGTTTAAAACCAGTGAGACATCTCTCCAACTTTCCCTCTTATTTATATGTAAAAATAACGTTAGGTAATCTTCACTTTATCTTCAAGAACTGTGCATAGCTTAGACCTAGTTATATGGAAGGAGCAAAATTAGTACCACCTCTCCATTTTCCAATACATATAAACTCAGAAAATTCCATCAGAGGTCCAGGTTCCTTAGGTCTTAGTTATACATCCTGCTTAACAGAATACTTGCGTGAGGTGGAATGACTAGTCATATGTCACATAGGGCTTTGTATATTAATGAAAGAATATTTCATAAATAATTGAGTATTGGGGCTGGGAATATGGTGCAGATTCAAAAGTGCTTGCTGTCCAAGCATGAAGACCCATTTTAATCACTAGTATCCATGTAAAAAGACAGATGTGTTGTCGTGTACCTGCAATCCCAGTACTGAGGAACTGGGGGCAGGAGAATCCCTGGGGCTTTTTGGTCATCCATTCTAACTAGTTGGTGAGCTCTGGTTCAGGAAAAACCCTGTCTTTAAAAATAAGGTGGGAAAGGGGCTGGAGAAATGACTCAGAGGTTAAGAGCACTGACTGCTCTTCCAGAGGACTCAGGTTCAATTCCCAATACCCACATGAGGGCTAACAGCTGTCTACAATTCTAGTTCCAGGGAAACCAACACCCTCACAGACACAACGACAGTATACAGCAAATAAATAATAAATAAAGCATTTTTTTTTAAGGTGGAAAAGTGACTGAGAAAGACACCTGTCGTCAACCTTTGGCCTGCACATGCGCGCGCACACACACACATACACACACACACACACACACACACACGCACACACACACAAAACTCTTTTAGGAATTTTTCTTTTATACTCCATGGAATTGAATTTGGCTTTTTTCAAGTAAGAGAAGGTTCCTGTGAAAGGAGAGGTGAAAACTGGGATGTGCCTGAGTTTGTAGGTAGATGAATGTGAGGCAAACACAGAAGAACGTGTGTAGAAGAGTTCGGCATGGTAGCATATGCCTGTCATCCCAGCATCGCAGAGGCAGAGAAATGAATTGAAGGCATTCGTGATGCACAACACATTTAGACCAGGTTGGGTGACTTGGGACCCTGTCTGAAAGCAGCTGAAAGGTGATGATGATCTAGGTGTTGATTTCTTAGGATCCATTTTCACATTGCTTTCAAAAGTCTCTGAATATCTGAGCTCAGGGGAATTCTTGACATAATGACTAAGGGACACGGTGAGCAGAGAGGCAGTTCTTGAGTGTGATTCATCTTCTGCTATGTGTGGTAACTGAGAACAGGTCATTCCAGATCATTCCCTTTCCCTGCCCTTTTGCTTTAGGACAGCACAGAGAACTTACGTGACTCTATGTCCCAATCTCTACCTTTGGGAAGGAGTCAGGTGCTCCGGGAAAGGAAATCACTGGTTTTGAGCTTCTTTATTATAGTTTTGGTCTGTAGTTTTACAAAGATTTTTATAGGCGTAGTTCCTAGAGCTTTGTTCAGCTCTTTCCCCTTCATGTACTTCTCCAAGTGTAGCTTTCTTTGTAGTGGTGTTACAGTTTCTCCGGGCTCTTCATCCTTACCTGGCTGTGTCTACTATTATTCATAGTCCTCTGGGAGTTTCACTCAAACGTGTATGCTTTTTCACCTGACTTGTCTTTGATAGCTCTTAAGAATTGGATGAATTGAGCTGAGTTCTAAGGAAGTGTTTTTAAACCTACCGCTATAAAGTGTACTTGATGGATTGTTAGCATTGCCATCAGAGCTTGTTAAGAAATGAGATGAACCTATCTCTGGTGCATGAGTTGGCTTTCTGGATCCCATTACCACTGGTTGGACACCTTGCTCACCCCTGATAAAGTGAGGAGGGGCTTGGTCCTGCCTCAACTGAATGTATCAGGCTTAGCTGTCCTCCCATGGGAGAACTTACCCTGATGGAGGAGGGGATGAGGGGTGGGGCTGAAGGTGGGGGGAAGTGAGAGGGGGATCTGTGGTTGGTATGTAAAATGAATAAAAAAAAAACAGAAAAAAATGTGATGAAGCAGACACAGGCAGGTGGGATGACTCGGGGTCGAGGTTTTTGTGGGTAGGCACTTGTGAGCAGGCTAGATGACCTAAGTTCAACTACAGGATCCCACAAGGTGGCAGGAGAGAACTGACTCCTGAGAGTTATCCTCTGACTTAAACACACACACACACACACACACACACTGAATTTCTAAAAGAATTATAGACACTGAAGCTGTACACAGTCATGTATCCTTTAATAACAGGAGATAGTGTGAGAACTGTATCTCTGTGATTCTGTTGTTGTGTAAACTGATACATAGCACACTTAATGCTTACATGATAAAGCCTACAGAACACCTAGACTGCATGATGTAGTTTGTTGTTGCTGGCCTGAAAACCTGGGATAGTATTGTCCTGAATACTGTAGGCAGCTGTGATATACAGGTAAGCACTGGTATAAATGCCAGAAAGGTACAGTAAAATACCAGGCAATATGAATTTTCAGCTCTGTTATAATCTTAGAGGACCAGTGTCTCACATGATTTTTCATTGATGTTGTTGTGTGGCATGTAACTGGGCATACGTTAAAGTTGGTAAAGCACTGATCTAAATCTAAAACCACTGTGGTGAAATGATGCTGTCTTCTCTAACCTCCTTCAGGTCTTTGTTGAGTATGCAAACGCTGGTGACTCCAAAGCTGCTCAGAAATTGCTGACTGGGAGGATGTTTGACGGAAAGTTTGTTGTGGCTACATTCTACCCGCTGAGTGCCTACAAGAGGGGATACCTGTATCAAACCTTGCTTTAATCAGTAACCCAAGGACTATTTCCTGTTTCTCCTCTTCCATTTCTCCGATTATTATATTCCACAGCTGAATGCAGGAGCACCCCTTTACCCATTTTAAAGGGTACCTTGTACATTTATTTAATCCTACTAATGTGCAGCCATTGCCCAAACAGTGACTGCATTGCAAACATTGGCACTGAGTAGGACAAGACCTCTCAGCTATACATTGAGGGGGTTAGAGCACCCACGTGGGCACCCTTTATTTGTGCAGTAGGGCAGGTGCTGCTCTTTAGTATGTAACCTAAAACAGATGTCATTTCATGTGATGATGAAGCAAAGACGAGTAACTTGTCATAGTGAATATGATTAACAATTTGTTAGGGTTGGTGACATCACAGAGTGTCTGTTTGTGTTGTCAGGTGTATCTCATTGTTCTAGCTGGCACTGGACGCTCTAATGTTAAGTCGTTGTCAAGCAGCAGTTACCTACCGTGTTCTTAACAATGAGTTGGGAACTTTTCTAAGGGAGTACTGTAGGACTTAATATTCCTCTGAAGAAACTGCAGTGAGCCTATCTCCGTTTTTAAAATTACTATTGAGGCTTTTAAAATAGAAGCTGATGCTTGATCTTGCACAATTTTTATGTCGAGTATGTGTGCTTGAGTGGGTGTGCAGGTGTGAGAGAAGAGAGAAATTTGAGTCAGTGTACTTTATAGTGTGAGTCTTGTGATCTAATATAGTCTATAACCATTTCTTCCTACCTGTTTCACACTTGTGAGACTTGAGGTGTAGGTTTCTTGAAAGTCAGTCTGACTGATAGAATGTAGATGACAGAACAGTTCATTCCCGTAAAGCGCAGAACAAACTGGAGTCTAGACCAGGGTTACGTTGAAACTCTTCCAAGTAACTGGAACAAAGAGGGTTTCGGTACATGTAAATTACCCCATTCTTCAGTCTACTTTATACTCAAGATTGACTCATCTGTTTTGTACTGAACCTCTTGTGATAATTGTAAAATTTCTCCAGGTGTGATTTTTTCAGTTATAATGGAAAATTGAAGTGGATCAGAAAAAAAACAGGTTGTTGTGCAGTGAAGGGAGAAAAGTACGAAGAAGGTAGCTATCACGGATCCTTTCCCCGCGTCCTCCCCGCTGCCTCCCACCGTAGGCATCCCCTTCCCCCTTGGCCCCTCTGCAGCTGAGGGCAGTGCCCAGTCATCTGGCTTTTGACTGGAAGGGAGTAAAGAAAGGTTGGGGTGTTATGAGGTGGAAGTAGAAAGAAGAAAAACTCCATTCCTAAGAGCTCCATAACGGACTAATGTGGCCTTGACTAGAGGGCGCCTATTCTCATGCGTTTGTGGGCACAGGTTGACTGTGACTTGAGGATTGTGAGTGTGCATTCTTTTTACTGTATAGTAGATTGCCTTGAAAGTTGTAAACTTATGAAACATTTGTAAAGCACTGATTGTACAAGACAACCCACAAATTGTACACCAGTTAGGAATTTTTTCCTAGCTCCTTACCTGAAAGTTTTATTTATTTATTTTTCCTTAGGAAAGAGTCTTTCCTTCCCTGGTGGCAGCCCACTTACATAGTTTTCTCTTGTTCGTGCCATACAAGTTCCTGGAAGCTCCATTACAATTGCATTTTAGAGGATGAATTCTTTTACCCTGGTCAAACAGTCTGTCCAACATTTGTTAGTAAAATCAGATTACTCAGAGCTCCCTCTTATGAAGTTAAATTGGTTATAAGGGGATTGACTGATGAATTACCTAATGTTTTTATGTCATGGTCCCTGATGTGTTCCTTAGAAAGAAGACTCTTTCAGGGGTTGATTGGGTGGTTGGTTTGCAAGTCAAAATTGAAGAGCACACAATCAGTGCTCTGAAGCCCTGAGCTTTCCTAAAACATAAATATTTACACCAGGGGCTGGTTCTGTGGTTACAGTGTACAAGTGAATTCTTTTGAAGGTCAAGTGTGCTTAGCACATGTTCTTGAAGGTCAAGTGTGCTTAGCACATGTTCCTGTCTCATAAAAAAGATTCTTGCAAATAAACTGCAGATAGGCTTCCAAGCTTTGTCGTGCAGTATGCTGCTAACATTTCTGCACTTAGAGAATTCTGTGATCCTCATTATTGCAAATGTACTCATAAATATGTGTAGTGTTTGACACTGTAGACTTACTACAAAAGATGCTAGTTTGATTTGAAGGGAGCTAAGGAAGTAAATGACGGGCCCAAGTAATTGCATTGAATTAAATATTTTATATTGAAGCCACAGAATTGAAAACAAAAGATAACCTACTATGATTTAAACTATTGTTTAATAGCTTAGCCCATTTACCAAAGAGGACAGCTGTAGATTCTCCCTCCTCTGATACTATGAGGACTTTCATTTTAATATCTTTCTTAAACTGGGACCAAATATTATAAAATATACAATTTTCACAATAAATATATGCACAGGAATTTTAATTCTTTGAAGTTATTAAAAACCTAAAATTCTTTTATTAAGAGGCAAGGTAAAGAGTGGAGGGTTCATACTACTTAGCCCCTGTCTCTGGGGGCAAATTTTACCTCAGGTAGTTTTTCTTTCCCTCTGTTAGTCTTTGTGCTTCCTCCCCTTGTGCCTTCCCACTTCCTTCTTTATTCTTCCATGGTCTACTCTACTGTGGCACAGTCTGTCCCAGAGAAGGCTTAGCAAGGGATTGCCCCATGGGAAATTTTGGGTTCTTTAGAAGTATTTGGAGGAGGTGGCTAGTAGCCATGATCAAATCTGTAATACAGTGTTTAGAAGAGACTGTTAGATGGGCCCCTCAGTAAGGTGTTTATTAATCTCTGGATACCCACCTTCCTTTGTGGCCATTGACACAGTGGCTTTCTTTGGGAAATCTCCCTTTCTGCTGTCTCGTGATCTAAGTCTATGGCTCCTTTTAGAATCCAATGACTGATAGAGTTTTACTCACCTGTCTCTGTGTTCATCGAGAAGCGTGACCTTCTCTTTGACTACAAGCTGCTAAAGAGTGTTGAGATACGTTGACTTGCCACCCACCATGTCGCCACAGAGAAGTGCAGAAGAATTGGGGGCATAAGGCTTCTTTCTCTCTTACTATACTGGACTTGCCCTCAAGTAAGGGCATCAGTTAGGGATAGCTTAAAGGCAGGTTAGAATACTCATCAGAAGCTGTTTCTTGGCTCTTTTGAATTTATTGATCAAAGGCAGGTGACTGACTGTCATCATTTTTTGGTAGTTCTCACTCTGGCTTATTAGGCCTATTGTACATTTTCTTTTTCAACAGTTATTGAAAATGAGCATCATCATACCTGATGGTAATTAGCAGCATAATGGGTGAGGGGATCTGTCAGGGAGACACTAGGAACCGTGTGGTTTACCTAGTCTCTCACTTGAAGGGGTTGGGCTGGCTGTTTTATTCTGAGTAGGGTACAGATAGGATGACATCGTGACTTTCCATCTGTTGGATCTGTAGCTAGCTCAAGTTATGAGCAAGTGCCTTGTGTTTCCTGGCAAATATTAAAACTCATCTGGGCGAAAGCTCTAGGTGATGACTGCACTGTTGCCTTGTTCTTGGAATAACTTGGATTGAGTCATTTGAGTCCAGAATTTCCTTGGCTTACTTTAAAAAATATATGTATAAAACTATTCCTATTTATCTCAGTATTGTATGTTGATGGAAAGGCCAGTTATTCAGCACATCTAATTCTGGGATCTTGTTCCATTTGTTGGGTTCCTTCCTCAAAGCTTATTACTCCAGCTCTCTCTCTGCTTCTTGTAAATTGTTGTCACATACAGACCAGTCCTTGGTCACTGCTAGCTCAAAAGAATTCCTGTTTCTTGAGGTGCTCAGCATTCACCTTTCTTTTGAATAGGGGTCTGGCAGTCTTCCCACTTGGTATTCCTAGCTTCCTTAAAGAATGCACTGATCTTGAGTCTCTGTTGTGTGGAGCTCATCTGGGTATGTTTAGATTTTAGAGTCTTAATCATGGAGAAGCTTGGATATTTTAGTTTTTAGAGGGCCCCCCGCCTTTGATGGATTTTCTTCCTTTCTTCTGATACCACAGGATGGATCATGATTTTTGTCCTTGCCGCCTCCCCAAGATGGTGTGCACTATGTTTAAAGTTGTCTGATGACTAATGCTTCATACCATGACAAGCAATTGGCAGGTACTAGATATTTAAGAAGGTAAACAATTTAGACTATTTTTGCTATGACTTTATAGGAGAAGTGAGCTGTCAAAGAAATACATATAAGCCAGGGAGCATTTAGGATAAACAGCTTTTTGGAGACAGGATTTCACAGTGCAGCCTAGACTGGCCTTCAGCTCAGGATCTTTCTGTCTCAGCCTCCCAAGTGCTGCTTCTCACAGTTTGTACCATCATGCCCAGCTCTTGTAGGAAACTATTTTATAGATGGTCATTAAGGTAATTTTTCAGGATATAAGACAAACACAAAAGTTTACACAAACTTTGTCCTGATAAAAACTATTGATTTTCTATAGCTCAGCACTTTCCCTGTTCCTTGTGCTGCTTATGGGAATGATTGCTTTAAATTTGCTGTATTTGTGCCTTTCAGAGAGTCAGAATCATGGCAGTTGTGTTTGTTGGCACCATTCTAAATGCTGGCGTGGCTGGGAACCTCACTAAATGATTGCCTGAGTGTTAAACTGGGTAGCTGTCACAACACTGGGAAGAGAAATGGGTGGTTCTTTTGAAGGCGGTATGTGTTTTGTGAGCTGAGTTCCTAGTGTTTTAATGGAAAGGCAGTAAGACATGCTCTTTCTTGCCTTAAGTGGCAAAAGACAGCTTTACTCTACTTCTCTGTGTAAGGAAAGCAAGTTACGTTCTGAGAAGAGAACTGCAATTGTTTGCTTTCTGTTTGTTTCTTACTGAGAAACTTGCGTAAACAGCAGGCTATTACCACCTTCAGCCCACTGATTATCAGTGAGTATATCTCTAGTCATTCTGTAAAATCCTCCATTGGAGGACTGGAGAGATGGCTCAGGGGTAAAGAGCACTGACTGCTCTTTTAGAGGACCCAGGTTCAATTCCCAGCATCCGAATGGTAGCTCACAACTGTCTGTAACTCCAGTTCCAGGGCCTCACTCAGACATACATGCAGGCAAAAACAGCAATGCACATAAAATAAAAATGAAATCCTCAGTTGGAGTCACTTCCCTTTTCTCTGTCAGCTCCTCTCCGAATCTCTTCAGTTACATGAATTACCTTTTCTATATTATTTTATTAGGTGGGTCACCGGAAGGCTGTCAGCCTTAAGAGAAGGAAAGAGAACTATTAATATGAATTGAGACAGGGAAGGAAGTAGCTCCCTTACTGGCATTAGTGATCTTCCGCATACAGTTCATCTAGACTTCTTACCTGTAGCATAAAAACATGGCCTTTCTTACACATTCCTCATCCTTGTTTCCCCAGGAGATTGCTGTCAGGGTTCATGAGGCCAGATTAAATATCCATATTCAGTTTGTCCTCATTTTTTAAAAGTATTTGAATTCCAGCCCTTGTGCATTTGGAGTTCATTGCTATTCTTGCAAATTGAAGCTCAGAAAGAACCTGGGGGTCAGCCATCTCTGTCTTCCTTCTGCACGTGGAGTGGGTGGCATTAGTCTGCACTAACTGCAGTTACAGCACCTTGTGAAAAGAAGTGTAAGTAGTGTTTATTATTATGTTAAAAACTTTAATCTGCACTTCTGTAATTAGCAGGATATAAAGCTGTCACATCTTTTCCATCAGCATTTATTTTTCATTCTTCCTTTGTGAGAAATCTTAAAATACTTTAACATTCCTTAATCACTTTTAATTCGTTTCAAATCTGGGATAGAAGACTTTTTCCCCCATCCTAAAAAGGGCTCTGTCTTTTCGATCTTTTTGTCACTCTTAGAAATTCATTTACGATCAATACATTTTAATAGTTTCTGGTCTCGGGACTGTGCCAGTACTGGAGTGATTGATTGTGAATATGAAAACCTACTGTTTTCCCTTGCAAACCTGGAGTTACTGTTTTGGGCATAGGTCTGGCTTACAAACCGTGTGAAAGATCACTTAAACCAAAGCCAGTTCTAAGGAGTGTTCGCTCCTGCTGGTTTACCTCCACCTCAGAGCGACAGGGACATTGCAGTGCGCAGTGAGTGGTCTGTGACATTTCTCCCTGCTGTTTCAGTAGCCTGTTGGTCTTGGCATTTCTTGATGCTACGAGTCTGGGTTTCGTGGTGTTTTACTGCTTGTGAATGGTTGGGCTTTGGTTGTTGTTTGTTTGAACTAAGTGGGACTGTAAATGTAGATAGATGTGTTTTAATACCAAGATGTTCTTTTTTCAAATCCCTAAATTTCTGATTTCCATACCACTCTTTCAGACGTCTGTATTCTTGCTGATACCAGAGGACTTTATCTCCACCTCCCTATAAAGTGTGAGCACTGTGTTTCAGCGAGCTGCATTGCGGACTTCTGCTGAAAACTTCTGTAAACACAATTGCCTTGTTCAGTTTTGTTGTAAACTGACTCACCATGCGATGCACTGTTGTTGATAGCTTCCTGATGTGTGGTGGATAAGAGTGATAAAATAAAGCTTACAAAGAAAAATGCTCTTTTATTTCTTTTTCTTCTTTTTAATAAGACAGCATTTCCTGTAGGTCATCTGGCCTTCAAGTCACTATGTAGCTGAGGCTGGTCTTGAACTCCTCCTAATCAGTCATCCTGCCTCTACCTCTCAAGTTCTGGGATAACAGGTGTACATCACTGCCCTAATTCTATTCGTAGGTTTCTGACAGTAATTTTTCCCAGCATGCATGGGGCCCTAGGTTTAATTCATTAAAATTTCCCCAGGACTGGACAGATGGTTCAGTGGTTAGCGTTTGCTGCTCCCTAGAGGACCCAGATTTGTTCCCAGCACCCATGCAACAGCTCATAATTGTTTATAATTCCAGTTCCAGGGTGTGTGAAGCCCCCTCCTGGACTCTGTAGGCAACAGAAACATATGTGTGTACATATATGTGTATACATACACATACATGTGTTTATACATAATATAGATACACATACGTACATACCTACATATATACTCAAAAATGGAGTAAATAACCACTTTCCTCGGAAATCATATGATGGAGGGAGAGCTGACCCCACAGGCTGTTTTTGATGCATATGTATGCACAGGCATATGCACACATGCAACTAAATAAACGCATAAAATAAAAAAAAACTTTAATTTTGGTAAGTACTGAACCAAATTGATAATACTAAAATGTAATTTTTTATTTTTAATTTTGGAAAAATGTTTGTGATGTTGCAGAAATAACCTGGTTCAACAAAATCCACAGTTGGGAGATTTGCATGCTACTCTGTTTTATCAGATTGGATTGCTTTAATCAAGTGATGTTATTTTGACAATAGTTATATGTTTATGAGAAGTGAATGAAATGGCATGATAGTAATGATGAAGAGCCATTTGTGAGAGCATATCAGTTAGGTGGCAGACACTATTTTCCAGAGTTCAGATCATATTTAATGTACTGAGATTCAGTGTCTCATGAAACAGCCAATTTCCTACAATTTAGGAAGGATACTGGTACCTTAAAAAAAAAAAAACCAATAATCTGAATGCTAAATTCCAAAGAAAGGTAGGAGGGACATCTTATGGGACTTCACGAGTTCAGACTAGAGATTCTGTGTGTTGAGATCAGCAAGTCTCATAGTAGACCACACAGCAGAATCAGTTCAGAAATCTTGCTAGAATATTGCTGCCGTGCCCTGCTTTGGGGTACTGACTAGGCCTGTGTGAGATCTGAGACTGCATGTCTACCATGCTCACAAGTACAGCTGCTGCTCGCCTGGAACCACACTTGGAACTGTTGAACTCTTGTTCTAAGTGCAACACTGGTTGTGGACTGGAGAAGCAGAAATAGTACCGATCACAAGCTACCCAGGACCCCCTAACGTTTGAGACTACAATAACAACCATTCAAACAGGTTTTTTGTTTTTGTTTTTAAATCCAGTGTCTCCCTTGCATGTAACCTTCTGAGGCGTGTTCTGGATAGTCAAATCACATGTCTAAACTTTGTCCTTTATGACCTTCTGTTCCCTGTAGTGTGTGCACACACGTTTCTACATACATGAATGTGTCTGCATGTATGCACTAGAGGGTTTATGCATGTGTGCTTGTACATGTGATTGTTGCATTTTTGTGTACATGTGTTTGTCTACATGTGCATGTGTGTGTTATCTATGTGTGTAGGCAGGTGAAAAAGCATGTGTTCCTGTGAGTGTGTATGTGTGTGTGTGTGTGTGTGCAGGTGGGTCAATATGAAATTTTGTATGTCTGTGTGTGTGCCATGGGAATGGCATGCCAAAAATGACATTTATTTCAGAGGCTATGCTTAAAAATATATTTTAGCTGGATAAGGTGGAGTATACCGGTAATCACAGCACACAGGATGCTGAGGGAGGAGCATGGTAAGTTCAAGGCTACCCTAGGCTGCATAGTGAGATACTGTCTCAAAAACTAAACCCCAGGTACACATATGTATTTAAAGGAATATTTGAGTGTAAGAGGAAAAAAGAACAAATATGGTCCAAAGAATTACCATACTTGACAAATGTCCTAGTCCAGTGATCATTTAATTATAAACTAAAAATTCTTATTACACAAAATTTCAAGACAAATAATGCTTAGCACATGTTTGGAAATCATCCCAGACAGAATCTCACCCCACTGTGGTTTCTTACGTATGGCGCAGTGTGACTCAGGCATTCTGGGCCTTACTTGACCTAAGCTGAGGAATTACTCCCCGCACTTTGAGCAAAGCCAATGGCATCATGACATTGCTCACCAGTAGCTGTTTTTCCCTAAGAGGAAATGGAAACATCGAGTTTCACACATCTGGAGTAAAAGCCATGTAATGTTACGTCTGGTTGGTATGGGAAGATTCTTCTCTTCATTAATACATTGTTTTAGTTTTACTAGATTAATTGTATTTATAAGATTTAATCATATTTAATAATCCTAAAAAGGATAATTTTGTTTTTACCATGATACCTAAGGGATCATTTTTACACTCAGGAAATAACAAGTATTTAACTTTCCTTCCTAATCACTCTAGTGTCCTAAGGGACTTGTATTTTTTAATCTTTTTCCCTTGACGTTTATTTTTCTTATGTGCCTTTCTTTTGCTCATTTGAGGTGACCACAGCCCTTCAGATTCTACCAAATACAGGCATTTGTTTATTGTACACCAGGTACTTGTCACATTCCATGTGCTGTGCTTGTAGGTCAAAGCCCAACTGGATGTTTTCACCTCAGTGTCTTATGGCTGTTTGAGTCTCCAGATGTCCCAAGTCCCATTTATCACTCTCTTCCTAGACTGTCAACAGCAGAAAGAAATGCTGGCTGAAATGAACAGGTAACGCAAGTGTGCCACCAGGATACTGGAGTTTATGAGACGTGAGAATAGCAATGCAGCCAGGTCTCACCCCAGGCCAGGACCTGGGGGCGGGCAGGCTGCAAGGACCCTCCTTCGTTCTTCTCTTGTTTAGGCTCTTAGCTTGCTGCCACTTCCTATCTGTATTCCTGCCTTCAGCTGTCAGTCTCTGTCCTGTGCTCCGGTGTCTCCCTCCTCCCATCTGCTTCCCCATCTACTGGTGGGACAGGACCACCCACTGTGCCATCCTCCCCTTCCTCACTGTCAGCATGCACTCATAAGTCACCCTCATCTTAGACTTTAAATGCCCGAAAACTTGATTGATTTGTATGTATTTCCTAATATCATGTGTGAAGCGTATGTGGGAGGGGTTCGTGTATGTCAGGGGTGGATCTCAGAAGACAACGTCCACCCATGTATGGGTTCTTGGAATTAAACTCGGGTCCTCAAGTTTATGCGACAAATGGCTTTTGCCTGTGGAGCCATCTCCTTAAATATATTTTTAAAGATTTATTATTTATTATTATTTTAATTATGTCCATGTGTGTGGTATGTGCAGATGTCCATAGAGGACAGAGGGCTTGAATCCCGCCAGAGCTGGAGTGAGAGGCAGTTGTGAGCTGCCTGAGCCTGGGAGCCAAACCTGGGTCCTCTGCAAGAGCAGTACCCACTCCTAACCACTGAGCCAGCTCTCTGGCCCCTTAAATGCATTTGAAGTGTAGCCCCTGAAGCCTGTACTTACTGCAGCTTAGTGTGCACAGTTAGAATCTGTTGCTTCTTAGTATGGTTGCCCTGACTTCAGGCTCCACTCTACCAGCACAGTGGAAGCTCTCTCCTGATTAGTTTCCCCTGGATCTGAAGCACTTTGATGGCTTTTGACAGTTAGGCCGTGTTTCCCAAAGTCACAGAAGCCAGGAATGATGGTACGTGTCTGTAATCCCAGCTCTTAGGAGGCAGACATGGGAGGATTGTAAATTCTAGGCTCCCCTTGGCAGCACAGTGAGACCCTGTATGGGGGGTGGGGAGAGAAAGAAAGAAAAAGAAAAGCAATTACCTGGTATGTTGACTGAAAATACAGATTCCCTGGCCACTGTTCTGGAGATGTTTAATTAGCAAACTTGTAGTAAAGCCTGCTAATTTGTGCTTTTTAAAATCTTTACTACCTTTATTTTAGTGTGTGTGAGAGAGAGAAGAGTGTGAGTGAGCACACATGTGCTACAGCATGCCTGTGAGGATCAGAGAACATCTTTCAGGCATTTTGTTCCCATTATGTGGGTTCTGGGGACTGAGCACAGGTCCTCAGGCAGCAAGCACCATTACTGCAACCAACATCTTTCCCTGCTGAGCCAGTCCTGCCTTGTGTTTCAAATTAACATCTCATTTGCTTACAGTGTTTACCACACTTTTCATATGCTCTGCCCACTCCTCTGAGCTCTACCCTGGGTATTGTAGTATCTGCTGAGAATATTTCCTCCATTTTCATTATTTGGGACACAGCTATCATTTGAGAATTTCCCCATGAACCAGGTGTCTGCAGACCTGTGGTTCCCCAGGCTGACTCAGCTATTAGTCTTCTTTGATGCCCCAACAAGTCTTATGTCCACACTTGTTATCATTTCCCTACTCATTTCCACTATACATGAGAGCTCTAAGAGCAGTGATTATATCTTGCTTATTTTACAGCTAAAGGGTAACATTTACAATCAAAATGCTATGTGATTTCTTGGAGAACTGTAGAGAAATGAGAGCTCATATTCACTGCTGGTGGGAATGTCAGCTAGTAAGACGTTATTGAAATCAGTGTGGCATTTACTAAAAAAAATTGCTGCCGGGCGGTGGTGGCGCACGCCTTTAATCCCAGCACTCTGAGAGCAGAGACAGATGGATCTGTGAGTTCAAGGCCAGCCTGGTCTACAGAGCAAGTCCCAGGACAGCCAGGGCAGTTATGCAGAGAAATCCTGTCTCAAAAAAACAAAAAATTAAAATGACCCTTATATTGATAGACTCTGTATCCTACCACAGAGATACTTGCACATCTGTATTCACTGCTACATTATATTCTTGATGGTAAGGAAATGGAACCAGCCTAGATGTCCATTAATAAATAAATGTATAGTGAAAATGTGAAATTTAAACAAATGGAATTTTACCTAGCTGTAAGGAAAAA